TATCACTCGATCTAATGGGACCTTTACCCAGGGGACCAGGAGGGATAAAATATTTCTTAGCTATTCTAGATATATTTTCCAAGTATATCAAGATTTCTCTACTCAAACGAGCAACCATGGAAATTATACTCAAAAGACTTACTCATGAATATATTCCTAGTATAGAAGGTATAGAGAAGATATTAACAGATAATAACACACAATTTTGGAGTATTAAATGGTCACAAGTACTACAAAAATTAGACGTGAAAATCATTCATACCACACCTTATTATCCAGAGAGCAACCCTGTGGAGAGAGTCAACAGAGATTTGCCGTATTTTGAGGTCATACTGTCATGCAAAATATACAAACTGGTTGAAGTGGATGCCTAATATCGAATATTGGATTAATCACATACACCACAATACAACAGGTTACACTCCACAACAAATAATATCAGGAGAAGAACCAAAATTACCATGGAATCTACCCATACAGTTTTCAGAAGAATACGCTCAGACTGATCAAACTCATATATATGAGATCGTTCGTAAGCGAACCAAAGCCAAAGCATGCTCAAAAACAAAGCAGAAAGACCAAAAAAAATCTTTACCCAATACCGTGAAGGACAACAGGTATTGGTCCGAGATCATCGATTTTCCAATTCTGAAAATCATGAAATAGCCAAGTTCTTTCTTTTATATAAAGGACCGTATAAAATTACTAATTGATTTTGTGAATTTGTGTCTGTGATCTAATCTAATATATAACTAAACTCATGCATTATTCTACCTCTAGACTACCATGACATCGCCATCTATAAAGATACAGATACCATTGGAGAAAATACTTCTACCAAAGACTGAATATATCCGAAAAATTCAATGTACCATTAACGATGCTGTGATAACCAGTGAACATAAGAAAAATATAGCCGAATATCTAAGATCAAAACAAGCAGAAAGGGTGCGGTACTCATTGGGATCCAAGGTGGAGCTTTCTAATACTTTCAGATTCGTTCGAACCAACCCCACGCCCACATATATTGCACTCAAAACCAGAGAAGTGTTCACAGCCATCAATATTAATCCTAACAAAAGCATCAAGCAGCAATATGAAGATGCAAAACGTATGCCAGACACCATTACCACCTCGGAGATTGTCAATAATACCGCAATCAAACGTCATCTATATTTGGCAAGGATAAAACAAACCAAATCAAAATCCACCAAATAATAACAATTATAAGATAAAGTTAAAGAACTGTTTGAACTTCTCAGAATTTTCTCAGAAGTATCAATATCTTCAAAGTTCATACGGGGACAATGTAACAATATAGGCAAACCAAGTATCTTCTCTGTTGGCCTTCTTCGCGCCTTTGGCGGAGCAATCACGGTAAAGATACTAGGGATTGCCTATAAACGTACAATATATGGCGCTAGTCCTCTATAGTGTTTTAAATGTAACTTTATTTTTATATTTAAATAAATTATATCCATAAAAAAGTAAATATTAACAGTAAATCGGACTCAACACCTAATGGTCCATGTCACCACAAATTTTGGACTAGTGATTCCATACAGAATCTTAAGTCAAAGCAATAAGATTTTTAACAGTATCCACCATGATGACAATAAAATCATATAAAAAGGAAAAATAACACCGGACACTACCACTCTCGATACCAATGTGATAGAGTATGTACGTCATTTCAGGTCTGCATACGGATATACTCTCTACTATGGTATATGGTGACGCCTGGAATATTTCACCGAACCTACGAGATTCATAATTAGTATTACTCAGCAACTCATAAAAAAGAATATTCAGTCGCAACCTTTAATTCAAAGAGGAGATCTGCCCTTGCTGCATCTCCAGTGAACCTCGCTCTACTTAATGACTTAAGGAATAGTCATTGCTGCCGTCCAGTCCATCATAAGAGATCACTGCTATATGGTACAATGTTTACTTATTTATTCTTGTCTGTGATTGTGAACACTTATTGTTTGTTTTATGTATATGTACACTTTGGGAGTGTTCAATTTTTTTTAAATATTATTATTATATTGTATTTTTTTGTATTCATAAAAATAACCATTATATTTATTATTATTATAACATGCTCATAAGACAAATAAACAACAACAAATACTATATCCATCTTGTGTGTGTGTCTGTTATAATTGTTTTCAATTGATTTCATTATTGCTACGGTTCGTGTTTGGGTTACCTTTATATATATATATATATATATGTATATATACTATAACATATCGTGCGATGACGTTTTTGCCACTATTACTTCGCTGTGTATTTTTTTGCCCGAAAAGACAACGTTGCTCGAAAAATCGTTCTCAATCGTGTTGTCAAAAATGGTGCAACGTTCTCAATCGTACCCTGCTGTAATATAACATTAATTTTGATTATTGACTGTTGTTGTTTTTCTTTTCGACTGAAGACTGAACAAAAAGAACCGTATAATTCGTAACTAGTAAGTAATCATTTATACTAAACACTATTCCCAGGCCCAACTAGAGGGGGGGGGGGGGGCACTCAAGTATTTGTCCTCGGGGTCCGGGCATCCTCAAGGGCCCGGAAGGCTCCGGAAGAATAAATGTATTAATTTTATAGAAGCTTTTTCAAAATGGTGCAACGTACAAATAAATATCTGTACGTTGTATCAATATGTTATTACGTCATGAAATATGTAGGTACCCATTTATTTATTATTTTTAAACTTGTGAGTTGCGAGTTGATTTTTCCATTGATATTGAGCCTAGTTAAAACTATCTTAATCGTATTCTACGGAATGCGATAAGAATTATTTCACCATTCCGTCAACCTCTCCCTTCGCCTGTACTTACGATTACAATGATGTGTGATGTACCTACTATAATTTGTGTAATGTGTTTACAAGTTCATAAAAAAATGACGAATCGATGAACGTTGCGACTTACGTTTTGTGTTTTGTGTATCAGTATCGACATTCGTCAGTATCATTTTATAGAATTATTAGTTGTTTTTATTCTTGTGGTCAAATGGCGTACCATCACAAGCCAGGAGCTCAAAAACGAAAAGAGCGAGAAGATAAATTTGAAAAATCCCGGAAAAATCAATCGACTCTTGAGGATTTTTGTACGCAATAATCAAAGACCAAAAATATCGAAGCTAGATCATTAGTGTCATGTGGTAATTGCTATTATTTGACATTTGTAATTAATACAGAATGGTATAAATAATTATTAGGACTAGGATTTATATTCAGGATGAAAATCAAATGGGCACCTTTATTTTTTTTTCTCCGTAATAATATTGTCAAGGTATTTTTAAAGAAATTTTAATGTTTAATATTTGATTTTAAGATTTTAATAATTGTACAAGTATAACAGAGGCAGTGGCGTGTGGTGCATGTACTGACGTTCTTTTTGGTTGCGCGTGCGTTTTAATACATTTAACACGTACAAATCTTCTACCAAATCTTCTTGCTACACTCATTTGCGAAAAAATTAAAACTCTAAGCATATCAATTTCTGATTGTCGTGGTCAGGGCTATGACAATGGCTCCAATATGAGCGGATGCTACAAAGGTGTACAAAAGCAAATCATCGACTTGAACAAGTTAGCAGTATATTCACCATGTGGCTGTCATACTCTGAATTTATGTGGAGTAGCAGCCGCTGCATGTTGTCCGGATGCAATAACTTTTTTAGGTGTGATACAAAAATATTATAATATCTTTAGCAGTAACCCACAACGTTGGGAAATTTTACTTAGAAACATTAAGTGCTCTTTACATTCTACCTCCGATTCTAGATCGAATAAAAAATCATTACTGGGCCATCATGGGCCAGAAAAGATTAAACGGTCTTTCTATTTTGGCTATCGAAAGTAAAACGGCGAGAACAATCAATTACGATGAAATAATTGAAGATTTTGCACAACAAAAGGCGCGAAAAGCGAATTTTTGAAATTTTAATTAATAAAAAGTTTAAGATTTAGGTTCATGTTTTTTTCTTTTTAAAAAAAAAACAAATGTACCAACTAAATGGTATAGTAATATAAGGCAATGTCAAAAATATGTTGATTCCTATTTTTTTTTTATTTCATTTTAACTATTTCCGATATTCTATACTTATTTTTTCTAAATAAAAATACTAAGTTTTTGATTTTTACTTTTTATATATGATATTTTTAAAAGCAGAGGCCCGCAAAAAACCTTGCCACGGGGCTCGACGTGGCTCTCGACGGCCCTGACTATTCCTACCTAAAGTACTTGTACAATTGTACGTTCTGTGATTGTACCTATTTAAAAAACTTAAGAGGCAAGATTTTATACAATAAAAAAACGATATTAAATTTTACATTTATAAATGAATTCATGAGTTTTTCCAACAAATTACGTTGAATTTTTGAATTTTGATTATGTGTATTCTCCATGTGCAGTTTAAATAATATGTATACATTTCTAACATTTTATTTAAACCTATATAATTTTTTTTTTATTGTAGGGGGGTTAAAACCCTATAAACGCCCCTGGTTTGCCACTGGTTAAGCCCCATACTTTAAGTTGATCCAGTACCCATTAAACTTTTCGATGGCCCTGAAAACAGCTTAACATTTATTTATTGAGACAAAAAAACATTAACAGGTAGCTCAATAAGTTGATAAGCAATCTTACCAGTCTTTACCGCAAAATTGATTATATGCATAAATTATAATAGTCACTACGTTCATAATATCAAATGTAAGTATTGGTGTAGCCCCAAAATATTGGTTGCGTAAACAAAGATTTGTTATTATTTGTTATTTATAACCTAACCTTAATGTTACTTTTAAAAATATAAAATTAAAATATCAATATATTTTAAACTAAAATAGAATATTAAATACTAATTATAAACACTTCTAATATTCTTTAGTAGCTCTCAATGTAACAGGAAGGGAAGTATTTGAGTTACCTAACCTGTTGCTTTGTTTGTATTGTCTAACGCTATTGTTTAACAATTATTAGATTATAGTTTAGTTCTTTATTTTATTTTCAATCTTGACTTCTTAACGTTCAATAATTTCGTTGTGGAAATGTGTATCAATTCGAAAATTATTATTTTCTAATACTATACTTATGCGATTACTCCGTAATAACTCGTAAAAAAGTAAGTAATCGTACTAAGTACTATTTTACTTTATTTTTATAAATAATTTTATATTTTATTTATGATTTTTATATTTAATTCCCTTGTTTTATGAGCTGTATATTGTAATCGTGTATATATTAATATGTGAGGGGAACTGGTACTTTTTCCTCAAGGTAATTTGGGGGAATTGGGATAAAATAGGTACTTTAGGGAGAAACTGATACATGCCCATAATAATAGAACCACAAAAATCTTATCAATATGAATTCTTTTTATTATTTAAATAATAAGCAGTGTCGTATATGCCAATCAAATCGTTTGTATAGACACAAACATAAAACTTGAATTAAAATAACACTTGAAATAACGATTATGTTTTCCGAATTACATGATTATTACAGAACACCCTTTGTTCACAAGTCTATATTTTATTAATTTTCTTTACTCAATGGCGCCGAACTTCTAAAATTTTAATAATACCAAATAAAAATACAACGGATCAAGCACTCCAGCGGCCACAAGCCTAAATGTTTACTTTGAATAGGAAAATAATTTATGCTCACAAATTACAAACATGATTCATACTATAATAATCGGGCACGTACCGGCAGATACCGTACTGTTTCGCAAAATATTTTATAATGTGTTTTAATTTAGATAATTCACATTTGAATGTTTCCGTTCTGTTCATATAAGTACCGATCCGATAAAGTCCGTCGGCATTTCTCACGAGGTCAGAAGATCAGCCCCTCTGATCCCTGACCTCATTTTAAAAATATGGTCAGACCGCGGACTGACCTAAGCATAGGGTTCGATGTCATTGGCTTTATGTAATTGAGCTTATTTATTGCTTACATGCTAGTTAACAGTATTGATAAAATTATTATTTTACAATTGTTTTCTAATATTCTAAAATTGTATATTAAAATATATCCTATTACGACATGAGTATATAGTCATTTTTTAATGCATCTTATTCTTCCTATGACCTGGATTTATTGTTATTGATATTGCTTAATACTACAGTAGTAATACTAACATTTTTTTTTTAATCATACAGAAATTTAACATAAATCTTTATGTTTATTAATAATTTAATAGAATTAAATTTAGTTTTGTTTTTTATATAAATTGTATTGAAATATTTTTCAAAATTGGTCTATTTTATTTATTCATTATACTAGGTACTTTTTTAAAATATTTGAGCAATTTATAAAATATAAATTCTTTACGTTTCATTTGGTAAACAGTTTTTACTTTTCTGATAACAACTACCAATTTTGATTTTTAAGTAAAGCTATTTTTTATTTCTTATGGAAATATAAATAGTGTTCTTGATCGTATTATAAAATACAATTTATTTTTGGTTAATACTATTCTACGTTTATCAAATAAATTATAACCGATTGAAAAAAAAAACTAAAAACATAAATATTTGTTTCAAACTTTGGCTCTAAAAATAATGAAAATTAAAACAAAAAATTTAACAAAAAAGTAATGCGCTACATTTTAAAAGTAGCGTTGGGAATAGCGTGCTACAATTCAAAAAAGCAGCAGATAACAATAAATCAGACACTTTTTTTTTAGAAGTAATTAGCAAGCTATAGTAAAATAGTACCGTCCCAACCATTGACTTGAGGTTAATAGATTTAAATGTGGTGTTTTGCTAAATATTGCGCGTTATCCGAAAAGGATTTTAGTTCATTAAAATCCTTCGATAACCCTACTATAACACCCACAAGAACCTATTTTTAAGTATTTATGGTCCCTTGGTAACATAGATGAAAAATAAACCAGTTATTTTGTAAGAATTTGTTAAATTTCGTTGCGTTATATATTTTTAATCAAAAAAACCATATGACAGTGTGGTAACTAACGTCAATAAAAAAAGATAAAAGAAATAGTTACCGTGATAAATATAAACATAAACATTAAATCTATATTTTATAAACATAAATAAATTTGAAGTGAACTTTTTTTTATTATTTTTTTACATTTCTTACGTCACTGAAAACTTTTTATTTTATTATGTAGAAACTGTGTGTTACTTTCTTCAATTTCAATCACTCTGTACTTCCAACACCAAATGGAAAAACCAAAAATATTTTTTATGCACTCACGTTACGCTAAGTTTTAGCATAAATGTTAACTATTTTAAGTTAGTTCAAGTACCTATATCATGACGAACGGAATTGTAAAAAAACTGAATAGTATCCACGCTATGTACATGCATATACAGATACATTGACACATGTATATGTCTCGCACACATCATAAACTAGTGAATTGTTTTCCTAAAAATGATTTGGTTTTCATAATATATTATGAAAAATATACAATACACGTATGTTCATCTGCTTTTCTGTAATTACTGTCACTACCACTACCTAACCGCCATCACCGCCGACGACGACGAACATGACATTCTTTAAGCAGACCACATTTGAGCATGACCCTCAGCGATAAAACACATCCATAACAAAAATATTGATCATTAAACAATGTAGTTTATCATAGGTACATTTTTACCAATAAAAATAAAATAATCTACAGTATCTTACCTTTTATTTTCCACATTTTTTTACGGCAAATTATAGATTTTAAATTACATACATATCATCCATTTTAAATGTACAGAGGTTAGGTAATAAATACATATACAGTGAGGATAATGAAATATAATGAAGCTTAGCAGTAGCAAAGCAATAACGGATCAGCTTGTTTGATACTCGTATAAACTATAGGTAATTTTTGAAATCTCATCAGCGTTTTTTTTAATCGTTTATTTTATAACAAACCGTGTGAAAAAACGCTAATTTTATTTCTATGAACACAAATTGAAAAAATATACAAAGCCTACGACTATCACTAGTATACCTGTTGTCTGCTGCCATGTAAAAATATTTCAACGCTCATTTTATTTATTATTTTAATATCATTCATGATGTATCATGGTATCGCGCTCCAAACATCCCCTTAAAATATAAATATACATTGAACCTCAACGGTCTCATACTTGTCATACTCGTACTACTTTCGAGGGAAGAGATTCAAAAATAAATATTTTTGAAGATTTTTTATTCTTACAATACATATATAAAATAACAAATATATAATATAAATTAACAATACGTATTTGAATATATAATACAAATCATATGTAATACATAAAATCAGATATTGTATTACTATCGTATTAAAAGTGGATGAAATTGAATGAACGGTTTTTTTTTCGTTGAATTAATTATATCCATATATTTGGACTTAATGCTTAAAAATACTATAATTTCAAACAACTATGAATGAAAAAAAAGGAGATATTCTCCTTACCTTGTAATGATATTATGTACATAGTTAACCTTAATTACCCTACAATGTTCGATTATTCATAATGCATGAAAACAAGCACGACACACTATTCACAATCTTTGTACGAATTTAAATAGTTATTCCAAGCATTATTAGCAGAAATATAAATATGTATATTATAAAGTAAAAAAAAATATATTATTTAATATTGTGCAGATGAATATTATATTTTGAATATTATGAATACCTATTATATTTTGATAACAATACAATACTTTCACCTCTAGCATGCGAAAAATTATACTATATTCGTAAAAAAAACAACATAAATTACCATTATCAACAATCATACATTGATGTAAAAAAATGAATAGTAATTTTAATTTTTTTTTTCGCTGGGTACGAAATATTTGAACCCTGAAAATATAAGACTACGTTATTTAAAATAAATTTAATCACGTTTAAGTAAACTATTATAATTTGAATAGAATATTGATCGAAGAATGTATTAATTCAACACTAAGATTGTGTACTATAAACTACAACGTGTACATAAATCCGAATAAAAAACAAACACTTTTAAATATACAATTTATAATCTCTGCAAAATGTATTATTTGAACGATTATTTTGTTGAAAAAAATTGCATAAAATAAGAACTATTTATAAAATATAATTAATAAAAATAAAACGTATTAGTACCTCAAACAAAAAAGTATTGAAAAATGTACAAAAAATGATGGACATGTTGTTATCACAAATCGAAACAGATTTTTTTTCACGTGTCTTTTTATGGTTACAAAATACGTATATGAAATGGCTAGAACTTTTCAATCATAATAATTTATAGAAATTTACTTATTAGTTACAATCATGAGGTTAATTAATTATGGTATCACAAATGTAAATGCAAAATCTACTCACAATATTTATTATTAACACCAGAAAATCGATCGGATTACTCTATTATCTGTGAAATTACAGGTATTCGGTAAAAGTAATTTATTTTTAATTTTCTCAACTTTACTACTTTTTCTATTACAAAAATGTTGTCCTTGAAGTAGATTCTTTGGTGAATGAAAAGTGCATTTATATACGTCACAAGGAAGGGAATTTTTTCATTAACCTTGAAATTAAGTGCCCTACTAATGTATCATTTACATTTGAACAGGTACTGAAATTCATTATCGTGGTTCGAAGTGTTATGCACATACGAATGCACATACATCGCGAATGTCCTATAAATTCTAGGTATATTTTATAAAACGTTAAATATATATTGGTTTCTTTAGCGCTTAACATATCAGTTCGAAAACGTGTTTAATTGTATACGGACTTCATATTACTTTTAATAATAAGTTTTTTCTTTTTTTACTTTTTATACTTAACTATTGTAATACCTCGACAAATATCAAATTAAAATTATTTTATTATTAATTTTATATGTTTGCTTAGATTTAAAAATAAAATCAATAATGAAGGACGTGTGATTTTTTTTTGTTTATTACAAGACTTTAAGATTGATTGAAAGAAATCTCTGAATTAAATCATAAGACAATCGTGGTAACGTACTTACTTATTTCTGTTATAATTTATTGCTGTAATAATATGAGATTGAAATATTTTAAATATTGTTCCTATGACATCTTCTAAAACCTCTTATTATGTTAGGATGAACCAAAACGAAGTAATCTCTACTAGAGAAGAACTCATAATTTATTTTAAAATCGTCTCTGACAGATCTGAAATCTCTTTATACATGTTATTTACGTATAAGATATTTACAAATATTCATTAAAGAAAAGTTTCCACTCCGTTGTCCATGACAATGCAGAAGCAGCGTACATAATTGGTATGGCGTCAAAGTTATTAATCTACCCTGGAATTTTGTACGAATACTAGATGTTACCTTTTGAACCCAATCTTAAATTATACCTTGAGCGAGACATTAAAATGTAATAGATTGAAAAAGATAAAAACACACATTTAAGTAAAATCTTCGTAGGTAGTATTTGTTAGTTAAAAATTTTTTCGCCTTGACAAAAATATCTCTTCGCTACAGTCAGCAATGAACGACGTACATTGTACGTACACAAAATAAATTTAAAATAATTAAAAACGCACTACACAAAAATATTTCATCTGTAAAATTATTTAATAAATTAATATACCACATTAGTTCCCATGTGTTTTTATTAGAAGATAGGTAGAACGTTTTCCTAATACATTCTGAGATTTCGAATGTTTTGATTATTTTTGTGTTCCAGAGACGGTTTGGCTGATATAATATAAAACATGGCAAACGTAACTCATGTGGATTTGAACAATTTCATCAGTAAAACGATGCATACATTTTCGAATTTAATTAATCAAGAGTTAAAATTCGGTAACTTATTGAATAAATTCGTTTTTTTTAATATTTAACGAAAATATCTGTATTTATTTATTTTTATAGATGAAGTAGCCGATTCTTGGGTGTTCATGCGCACACCATGGCCAATGTTCATAATTTTGGCAGCTTATCTGTTATTTGTATTAAAATTAGGCCCTAATATGATGAAAAATCGTGAACCATACAATATTAAACATATTATGATGATTTACAACCTTGCACAGACTGCGTATAATATCTACATTATATCCGCGGTAAGTTAAACACACGAAAAGTATTCAAATCCAACATTACTAGGATTTAAATAATAAATATTATTGTACTGTTACGAAATTACTTTTTAAGATCATATGTTTATTTGGGAATCACTTCAATGGATTTTTGATTAATTTAAATTTACATAATACGTAAAATTAAGGAATTGAAACTGGTAAAGTTTCCTATTGATTTTCATTAACAAAACTAACGTAATTCATTTTCATTCATTTATTTGTTGTTAAAGAATAATTATGTTACTATTTTTTCAGAGTACCGAATAATACAAATGTATTAGGTACTTGCTTTTACTATGCGAGTGTATTACAATAGGTAATCGGTACTCTGAAAAATTAGTAACAAAACCTCTCTTTAATAAAAAATAAATGAATGAAATGAAATTACATTAATTTAGTTAAAAATAGATGTTCGTAACGTTTTAAAAGAAATTATTAATTTACATTTATTACATAAATATTTAAACACTTACCATAGTTATAGTTTTAAAAAGTCAAAAGAATATAATACTTCGTAATTTTACGTAGGTAAAATAAAATAGCAGTAAGTACTAAAGGTACCTTTATAATCAGTGATGTGAATAAGAACAGTGTTGGGAATAGATATTGCAAAATTTATCTATATAAAGATGAAAGATAATATGTCCAAATTCATCTAAATAAAGATAATAGATAAAAAAAGTTAAAATATCTAGATAAAGATAAAAGATAATTTTATTTTTATCTAGATAAAAAAAAGATATTTTTAAAAAATGTTATTTTTTTGTCAATATTTCATATTCTAATAATATCTATGAAGACTCAATTATAATCAGAGGCGTATTTAGAAATGTCTTATTGGGAGGGGGGTACAAACAAAAAGTTCAAAGTATACATAGTTATAACTTTTCCATCTCAACAAAACTGTCGTTATTCATAACCAAATAATCAAAATACAAGTGTTTGATAGAAACATAAACTTTTATTACAAAAATTTATAATAAAACATATTTTTAAATATAATTTTTGTAATTACAATAACTGAAGACGTTCGGGGTGTTTATTAGCATATGCATCAACTACTTCTTCAGGTTTCATAATTATTTCAGGGTGTATATTAAGGCAGTGGCGGTGTGATGGCAGATTTTTGAGTCCCTGGATTCAAGTCAGTGGGTGGGTAGGTGGGTGGGTATTGACCATTGGGTATCGAGTGGGTATGTAGCATGTATAACGAATAGGGGGGAAGCTCTTTTTACAAGTTACCCTTAAATTTCTTTTTAGGTGGGTGGATGGGTGGTCAAAATCCTAACAGGACTCCCGAAGTAAAATATTTCACGCCGCCACTGTATTAAGGTGTATTCAGGGTATATACAATGGTAATCCGTTTAATCGATGGTATCATATTATCATGATATATTGATATTCCAGTATTTCACCGTGTGCCTGTGCGTGGAAAAGGGCCTACAATAATAAATAGTATAAAATATGGTGAATGGTGGGGGGACGGGCTCCTTGGACCCACCTCTTAAATACGTCCCTGATTATAATCATTATTATCAATAGGTACCTAGGTGTTTAATGTTTTTGTAGTAATTTAATGTACCATTAAGCAGTATTTATAAATAATGTACAATATTTAATGACAGTTGATCACAAAAATGTTACAGAAAAAAAAAATTGCTTTGTACGTATCAGGATAAATATAGAATACATAAAAAAATATTTTAAGTTAACAATATTGTTTTCCATATAATATTAATTTGATAATTTTCATTATTTTATAAGTAGTTACGACTTTACGGGTTCAAGAGTGAAGTAATAACTATTCAACGTATGAGTTACGTGTGTATACTAAAATCAAATACCTGCTATACTTGGAACTTTCATGGAAAAATAAGAAATTAAGTTTAAAAATACCAAAAATATTTACTCGACATAAAAATTCAAACAAAATGTCATACCAAGAAATAATAATTACTTATTAATAATCCACGAATTATGATTATGAATACAAAATCTATATGTATAAAAGAAAGTCAGGTTATTTACAGAATTTATAATTCAAGAATGGCTGGACCGATTTTGATGATCTCTTATTTGTTGAATTCGTCTCTGTACAAGAATAAAAATAACTCTAGTCTTGGCAAGAATACAGACAATTATCTAGATAAGTAAAAATATTATCTTAGATAAGTAATTAGATAACTTAGCGTTATTTATCTAGATAAGATAAAAGATGATAAAAAATCTATCTAGATAATTTATTTAGATAAGTCCCAACACTGAATAAGAAGTAGGGAAGGGAAGGGAAAAAAAATATGTGAACTACCTTATATTTTACATGCTCTCTGCTTATTTTATATTTACATTTGGCTAATGATTCAAATCTAATTTATATATTTTATTTATTTTAATGAATTTAATGTCTTAACTTTAAAAAAAAAAAAGTTATTAGAATACTCATTATTAACATTATCAACTAATTATTATCATGAATACTACAAAACTGAATTGTTTAGTTAAATTTAAATTTTAAATTTTAGGTATTCCTTATACCCGGCACATATACATACTTATTAAATATTGTATGCATTCCAGACGAAACAGAAAGTAATAGATTTTATAAAAGACAGGTAAGATTATTATATAAAACAATTATTTATACTAAGGTAATAATTTTTATGAAAAAAAACCACATTTTTTTTAATTAATAATTAATAATTTTAATTAAATTTTTTTTTTAATTTTTTTAATATACGCAATAAAAATAATTTTTAATTAGTTTAATATTTTAATAAAACATTGACTTGCATTCTATATTTGATGTGAGATTGAAAAAAATAATTAAAATATTTTTTATCTTTATTGAGTTGATGTCGATTGCTCATAATTTTCTTCGTTACATCCTTTGGCATTATAATTTTTTGATGAACTGATTGCATTTAATAGTCTTTGTTGTGTTAACAAAAAATCATACAAATCAATACAGGAATATTTTTTAAAATTATTTTTAAGAATTATTATTGCTTTGGCAGTAGGTACGAGAAAACGATTTTTTTTTGTCCGTCCATAAAATATTTGGGATGCAAATTTTCTTTCTATTGCTGCATTAGTTACTGGCATAGCTAAAGAATAATCCACAACCTTCCAAAAACTTTTATTTTTTAAAATTGTATAAATGCCATACCATCTTTCTTCAACACAAATACATTTATTTTGACATTCTTTTAAATTGTCATTTATAACAATCTTCATCTACATTCAAATCGATTTGATTTTTATAATCTTGCAATAGAAATTGTAAGCTTTCTTAAAGATCATTCCATACTGAACAACTAATAAGTTGAGTCCAACGAAATGTTTTTAGTATTTTAAAAGGGCTCTCCACTTTTAAATGTACAACAAAAATGTATTATTAAACTGGTCAGTTTATTCTATAATTTTTTTTTTCATGTATATATATTTTTTCTCTAATTCAAAGAGTAGTGATTTTACATTGGAAGTTAAAAAGTTTTGTGTTTTTTTTATTTTTTATTTTTCCACATATTGCTTCTAATTCTTCTAATACTTTACATGCAGAAATAATGTGCTACATTCTTGATATAGTATCGCAAACAACTTTTAACTGACTTTATATGAAACGAAATCATATTATTGAAACGGGGTTGCTAAAAAATGATTTTAAAATGGCTGGGCATTTATCATGAGAGTCAAAGTACGATTTTAAAGCTAGGCATATTCAAATAATTCTAGAAACATCTGGTTGTAATGATAGCCATCGTGTTTTTACACTTCCACGTATGATTTTGTATTAAGTATTTATAAAATCACAAAATTATTTTAAGGCTTCAACTCTAATAGTATAAATATGAAAATATTGAAATATTAACTATACATTCGATATCAATAGGTAATATATCTGTACTTGTTTGCATAGTGTTATGAAGGATATGAGCTGCATAATACATTCCACAAATATTAGTTTTTAAATTATTGTTTAAAATCGTAAAAACATTTTTTGTTCCTTTCCTTGCATCAACTCCAAAATTGGTATTACAGTTATCTCCAGAAAATGCAATAATTTTGTTAGATAATTTATACTTTGTCAAAACTTCCATAATAAAATACAACAATTTATCTGAGATTCTCCTTTCAATTTTGTAAATTCGAGAACTTTTATTTGAACTCCTACTTTAGGATTAAAATACCGAATAAGTATGGACATAAGTTTTAAATTTTTATGATTCGAAATGTCAATCATAATTGTGACAAAATTAACAGCCTTTAGTTCGTCTATTATTTGATCCATTGCAAAAGGAACCAATACGTTCAAAATAATCGATTCCCACTTAGTCATGCACAAGAAAATGTTTTTTCGTGTAACTTTTTTATTAAAGTTGTAGTACAATCTATTTATTTAAAAGAATGGTTAAGTTAGGCTAATGTATGAAATGCAAATATTCTTTCTTCCGCAGACCCTATTCTAAAAACGGGATAAAAAGCGTTCCGTTTTAATCGAGACGTATGGTCACCCTAATTTACACTCATATTATTATGATGAAAAACACAAACTCGTTGAAATATTAAAGAATTGAAAAAATTTGATCTAGATACTGGGTGTTCCATTAGTTCATTCTACGGAAAAATGATTTTCTATAATGTGTGTCCTTCTTGTGAAAAATACTCCGAGATATTTTTTAGTTATATAGTATTTTCAAAAATTGAAGATCATTTTATTAATGATTTCGTTCAAAAGATAATTTTTAGCATACTTCAATATTTACTTAATGTGTTTTAAATTTAAACAGTTCAAAAAAACAATAGTTGATAGTTGGAAATTAATTTTGAGAAATAAAACTACAAAGAACATGTATATTATATGCCAATAATTGTGCTAAAACCACTAATAATTTAAGATTAGCTTATTTTATAAAGCTATTTTACTAGTGATTTCAGAAGACTAATACTTAACTATCCGAAGTTAAAAGGGAAAACATTGTAGTACTAAACACTTTCAAATATTAAATTCAATGAGTGCAAAAAATTTAAATACTTTTTTTTCACAGGATTCGGATATGTCTCGATTGATCAATATTTTGGTATACTTTATAAAAAAAAAAAACTGAACTCGATAAAAAATAAATATTATTTTGGTAGTAATCAACTAAATTAAATTCCTTATCTAAAAATTTGCTATATAAAGCTCTTAAAATATTCCAAAAACCAACAAAAAATTACAACTTTTCAAAACAAATAAATGTCTTGCTTTTCTTAGAATCAAATAAAATATAAATAGTAACATTTTAAACAAAATGTATCCAAAATAATTAAAAATTGTTCATCTTCATGTATGAACACAATACACATTTATTAAAATCTTAATTTTTTTATTGCTATTAGTAATGATAAATAATAACAATACAGTAAGTCTTAAATTATGATTATTTTATTTACAGTTTTATATACAATCGTGGCATTTTGTTATATCGAAAGTATTTGATCTTCTAGACACTGTAAGTATTTTTTAATTAAAAAATTTAAATGCTTATAAATATTTTTATTCTAACTTAAAAGTGGTTAGCGTTTCCAAATTTTAAAATTCGGTTTCCTTTAAAACGCTAACTGAAAAAAAAATTGAAAAATTAATAGAATATAAACATCAGTTGTAAATAATTTAATTATATTCAAATTTTTAATTTAATATGAATGCTGTTGAATTAAATTTTTTTTTTCTTATTGTAATACATAAATATATTATATACTTACTGAAATTCTACTGTATCTAGTATAAAAAATAAATAAAACATAATACTTTTCACTTACATTAGATAAATGAAGATTCATCTTATATTTTGTTTTAGGTATTTTTCGTTTTAAGAAAAAAACAATCTCATGTGTCATTTTTACATGTTTATCATCACGTTAATATGGTTGTCACTACTTGGATTTTCTTGAGATTCATCAAAGGTAAAGATCAGCTAATTAAATTCAATAGTTAAAATAAATTTAATAATATGTATTTACAACATTTAGAAATAATTATAAAACTGAGATACGATTTTTATTGATTCAAATACAAAATCAATCAATCAATCAATAAATAACATTGATTTACAAAATATTAAGTTATTGGAAAATAGTTGTAAATATTTTTTTACCATTTCAAACTAAAAATGTATCCATGAAACTAAACACACACATTTATAGTAAATTATCAAAAAGAAACTTGAGTGTAGTATAAAATTGAATCGTACCATCTTCGTAAATTTGAATACAACTATTCATCGCATTAGAAATACAATTAAAATACCTACATTTTATGTGCTCGTAAAAATAATTACTATTAGATTAAATACTATGTATAGGTAATATTATAAAATTACTCTTGTGTATCAATTTCAATTAAGTACGTTTATAACTAAAAATTAGTTTATTGAGAAACTACAAATTCTTTTAAAAATAACTACTTCGAGGCTCGAAATAATCTTTATGATTCGATTACAAAAAAATAAAAAATAAAAAAATAAATAATACTATTATTCAACACTGTTATATAAATCGTAAGTTACAATTGTATTATAAGCATTTAAAGATAAACATGATTAACTTATCTCTATTCTTGAGATTTTAAAATGTAATATGATAATAATATTATAATATAATGATATAATAATTATATCTGTCTCTATAGACTGTCTGTAAAACAGATACATAATGTCACGTACCAATTTTTCAGTATAATATTAATATGATGATCTAGTCACTATCTTTATGTTTTTGTGATATTTAAAAAAGTTAAAGACAATTAAAAAAGCAAAAAATTAAAGCTTTTATAGTAATCAGTAGACTTATATCAATATATTTAAACGGCTGCATCCGAATTGCGTGCGGAAAAAAAGAACTATGTTTGACAACAACCGAATTGCGTGCGCGGTTATTTCGAGACACAGCCGAATTGCGTGCGTGGTTTCTTCATGACAGAGCTGAATTACGTGCGCATATTTTATTTAAAGACAACCGGTTTTTACCGAGCTGGATGTGTCGGTCGGAGAATCATTTATCTGTATCTAATATGATGGCTATATATTGGTATTACAAATATATTTCAATTTGTAGAAATCTTGAAAAATGTACAAACCGATGTTAATGTCAAAATTTGTTGCTCAAATGTAACAAAAAAACGATGGGAGGTATTAGAATAAAAAGATTATATTAATGACATTATGCATCAATTTTAAAATAAAATGTTAACTCATTTGAAATTTATTGAAATGTTGGCGTACAAAAATTTGCCAGTTGAGTTTTAAGTTTGAATACAAAACTCAAAATATATATATAAACAAACCTATTTTTTTCTATTTTTTTTTTCTTATTTTTATAATATTTAGACTGTAATTTTAAATTACATTTTTTGCTACTCATATAAAATATTTAAATATAATAGTTTTTACGAAATACCTAATAATTTTATTGTATTATCATTTGAATTAATATTGTTTTAATAATTTGTATTCGAAGAATAAATGTATTCTTTAATTATTTAGTGTAACTCATTGGTTCATTTAAAGGTAAAAAAAAAAATTGTCCGCAAAAAATGTGTGATCTGGCACACCGTGCGGCATCAACACTGTATCTCGCACGCAACTCGGCTCTGTCACAAAAAACCGCGCACGCAACTTAACCCTGTTATAAAAAAACCACGCACGCAATTCGACCCAGAAAACGATTTTCGCACGCAACTCGGAACCGCCGATTAAAACAATATTTAATAGATCAAGATTTTTAAATAATCTTTTAGCTTGACAATAATAATATTGTTTTAGATTGTTTTGTAAGCACATTAGTATTTATAACTTATGATACGGACAACGATCAAATGGTTGTAATCATTTTAAAAATGTATTTTAAATGATACGCTATGTACATTATTTGATCATGTTAATAATAATATTTTAAAGTCTTAATATTTATTAAATTATTTTGTTTTATTTAAAACTTCTAATTTGGCTTAACTAACATTTCATAATACAGTGTCTACAATTTGTTAGAATAATAAAAATAATTTAATGTAAACACAGGTCAACAAGGAGCTCTATGCGGTATTATGAATGCTACCATCCATGCGATAATGTATAGTTACTACTTCTTAGCAGCTCTGGGTCCTCAAGTACAAAAATATCTTTGGTGGAAAAAATACGTGACATGTTTGCAAATCGTAAGTCAAAAATCGTATAATTTGTATCCACCGGGATCACACGCTTGACTAATAATTAATATTTATTTACGTATTTCAGTACTTACTTTACTTTTTTTTTTTCAATTTACAGGTACAATTTATAGTCGGCATAATATACGGAGTATATCTCTTTATTTACGATTGTGATTTCCCGAGATTGTTCTCCATCTACATGATATTTGACGTACTTCTGTTTTTGTATTTATTTGTTGCATTCTATAATAGGACGTACAACCAAAAACAAAAGTCTCAATAAACTCGAAAACCGACAGAACACGTTAATATGTTAGATTAATTAATTATGTTACATTAATATGTAGACCTCGTCGGTAATTTATTATAAACTCAACAGTATACTATATTTATGTACTTACACACATTTTTAAGACTTTCTTTGGTAAAAATCATATTTTATCTCTTCTCCCTGAAGTATTCTCAAACCCCCATTTTTGCTCACACCTATAATTTGCATAGTAGTAATAAACATATATTTTAGAAACAAAATTATCTCCTTAATTCTATTTTAGTAAAGCTTTCTCCTAAAAATACGGGCTCGCTACTGCATGAATATTTCGACGAAGAGTGCGCAAATCATACATAATTAAATTGTATTTATTGCAAATAGTTTAGAAAAATAATATTATAGTTTTACAAAAAAATATTTGGTAATACATTGTATTAGCTTATATTTAAATTTGTCCATTTGTTATTTTTTTCATTTTTGCATAAGTCAAACCGAATAAATAACAATATTACGTGAAAAATATATAATATATTTTTGTGCGTTTTTTTTATTTTAAAAAACTTACAATAAACATATTTTTAAATGTTATATTTTTAAAACGCACAAAATTGTTACATTTTTTCTAACCCCACCAAAAAAAAAAAATTCTGGATATATCCTAATGATATAATTTAATAATCAATTATAGTAACCATACTCAAATAATTAGTAAATAATAAGTAAATGGTAGGTAAAATCGATGGAAATATATTTTACTACATTTTAGGCGAATAAAACAAAAAAAAAAAACGAAATAACAATAGATTATACTCCGTACAAAATAAAAATGATATTACATAATATTGCACATCATACTGTTCGCGTGTACACTATTTTATTAGGCGATCGATAGAAAATACATGGGAAGATGTGCGAGACCGAAACAAAACGTTTGACAAGAACCACTCGAAATCTCGTTAGCGATTGGTATTCTCGTTTGAATGAAGAAAATACTTGTTTAAAAAAAAACACATGTCCAAGCTTATTTGACCAAATATAATTTCTGTTTTATAGCCCGCAGTACCAGATTATTTAGAAGTTCCAATCCCTGTACCCCCAGATGGCCCGGACTATTTAGGATTGGCATCAAACCTCGATATTTCTATGGATCCCAGCGGCCGAATAAATAATGATAAGAATTTTCAATCAGATTATTCAGATTACACAGCAACCATAGAACTTTTTAATCAAAACGAATCAAATGATTTAGTACATAGATTAGCTTTTATACTTAAGGCGATACTGAAATATAAAAGTCTGAAACTGAAAAAAAAATGTCAACCGTATATCAGCTAAGAAATTGCGAGCATTAACTTGTTCTTATGTTTTTATAAACTCAACCAGAGAGCGTTATCACTGGATGTAACTGCCGTACTATATGGAAACTACAATACCACTTCGTTGTACTTAACATGTAACAATCAATAATTCTAAAAAAAAATGATTTATAATTGCACTAATGTATTCACTAATAATATACATCACTACGATAGGATTAAAATATTAGATACAAGGGCTTGGAACCTTTGTGATTTTTTCGATTTCGGCTCCAATTTTTTTCAAAAAAAATAAATTCGATACTGGTTTCGGTCATTAGTCTTATTTGATCTATTACGTAAAATGTTCCAGTATCAGTTTAAAATTAAACTAAATTAAATTACAAAAGGTTTATGGTAAATTTTAAGAGTATTATTTTTTAATATCCTTGACGATTTTACAAGGCATTTCAATTAAAAAATTAAATGCAAGTTGAATGGATGCCTGGGAAGTAAAAATAATAATTCAATTGACAAAATGTATAAGTCACAATAATCATGTGTACACTGTACTAAAAAAATTACTTCGTGAACTAGATAAATTTCGGTTAAACTAATCCTTCAACTGTATTGTCGTGGAATCATCCCATTCAAATTAAATTTGCTATTGAACTGATAATATTATGTTAGTGAACAGTGTTGGGACTTATCTAGATAGATTTTTTGTCATCTTTTATCTTATCTAGATAAATAACGCTAAGTTATCTAATTACTTATCTAAGTTAACATTTTTACTTATCTAGATAATTATCTGTATTCTTGCAAAAATTAGAGTTATTTTTATTCTTGTACGGAAACGAATCCAACAAATCAGAGATCATAAAAATTGGTCCAGCCGTTCTTGAATTATAAATTCTGTAACTAACTCGATTTTCTTTTATAAATATAGATTTTGTATTCATAATCATAATTTGTGTATTATTAATAAGAAATTATTTCTTGGTATGACATTTTGTTTGTATTTTCATATCAGGTAAATATTTTTGGTATTTTTAAACTTAATTTCTTATTTTTCCACGGAAGTTCCAAATATCAGTGGTGTATTGAGGGGGGCAATGGGGGCAATCGCCTTCCCCCCGAGAATTTTTAGACCAAGATAATTTTTACATAAGTAATGGATATTTTATTAAGAAACAAAAATTATGATTTATTTTATAGTATTACTACATTTAAAAACGTTTCAAATTTTACACTAATTTAAAAAACGCAAAATCCTAAATTTTTCATAACGTTTAAATTTGTATTACGTTTAAACGCTTAAATTGAATAACGTTTAAATTATTTATAGCGTTAAACACTCAATTGTTTATAACGTTTATATGTTCCATAACGATAAATAATATATATTATTTTGATTGAAGATCCAGTCCATACTTAGTGAAAAATTGGATAAAACACAAGCGAAACTTTCAAAACACAGATAAGTGTTAAGAAAGAACTACACAAAAGTTGATTCAAAGTGGATCTAGCATTAGATAAAAAAAAAAAAACCACAAATATTAAGGATTCATCTGATATAAATATTACCAAAAATTTTACTTGTCAATTTTGAGCCTGAATTAAAGAAAAAATTTGAGTCGCCCTCCCCCTCTCCTAGAAGTAAGTCTAAATACGCCTCTGCCAAATATAGTAGGTATTTGATTTTAGTAAACACAAGTAACTCATACGCTGAATAGTCAATACTTCACTCTTGGAACCCGTAATGTCGTAACTACTTATAGAATAATGAAAATCATCTAATTAAGATTATATGGAAAACAATATTGTTAACTTAAAATAATTTTTTATGTATTCTGTATTCATTCTGATACGTACAGAGCAATTTTCAATTTTTTTTTTTGTGTAACATTTTAGTGATTAACTATCATTAAATATTATACATTGTATATAAATACTGCTTAATGGTACACTATATTACTACAATTAACATTAAACACCTAGGTACCTATTGATAATAATAATTATAATTGAGTCTTCATAGATATTATTAGAATATGAAATATTGACCAAAAAATAAAAAATTTTGAAAATATCTTTTTTTTTATCTAGATAAAAATGAAATTATCTTTTATCTTTTTCTAAATATTTTAACTTTTTTTATCTATTATCTTTATCTAGATGAATTTGGAAATATTATCTTTCATCTTTATCTAGATAAATTTTGCATTATCTATTCCCAACACTGTTAGTGAAGTTTAACATATTCAACGCCACAATAACGAATTGAAACTCGAGTAAATGAAATAAACAGATGTTAATCAGCAGATTAGTAACTTTCATGAGAATTACTATTACATTACAGCTATTTTTGTTACGCTGAACTGTCATTAGTGTATTTATACTGTACCTATACGATTAGTTTATTGTAAATACCAAAAGATAACTTTCATATAATATTCGTGTAGATTTATTTAACTTGGGAATTTAATGGCCATGGCCAAATTCATCCGATCGTTACAGATTCGCCTGTACGCTGACGACTGCATTTTTATTAATTTGTAAAGCTAAAATAATACCTATTCCAATAAAAATTTACATTAACGGGGTAAAACGATAATAGACAATAAAAAGAAAAATATCTAATAATTATATTATCTTGTAATTTATTTTAAAAAGTTTACACATTTTTTTTTTTTAATTCATTTTATCAAAAATATATTGTATTAGAAAAATACATTTTTTTTTTTTTTTTTTCATACTTCATCCCATAGTTTTTTAATTCTAGAACTTTAAAACTGCAATGCTAAACACTTTAGAAATATTGACTATTATCGTTTTTCCCCGTAGTCTTTCATTTGTTCTACACTATGTGTAAGAAAATATGAAAATGTGAAAAAAAAAATTAATAGTGTATATATTAGACAATTTCGATGATTCAACTTTTTTAAATCATAAATAAATTAAGGTATGATTTATATTTATATTTTCTTTCGATTTACCGAATAAAGTATAATTTAATTATTGTACATGGTATATTTGTATTTTTATATTTTCTCATACAGTTTTTTTGGATAATTATTATGATTTTTTATCAGGCAAGAATTTATGGAGTAGTAAATTATTGGAAAAAACTTTTAGTTCGTGTGAAAAATATTTACCCTAAATGAACCGAGTAATTAATTAATTCTGATTAAAATTATAAAAGCGATAAATAATATTCGTAAATATTCTGATTTTAATAATAATTATTAAAATCAGAATAATTATTATTATTTTCGTGAGTTGAATTTATATTATATATTATGTACCCACTCAGTGGCGCCGAACACAGGGTTTGAAAATGGTCATAGTCAGACTGTATTTCGATGTGGAAGTAAATTCGTCTTTGATATTAGTATTAAATACTATTTTAAATAATTGTTATGATGAAATTTATCTGACCTTGGGCGTTTAAGCTTTGGTTAATATTACCGAATAAATTCAGACACCATTTATTTATGACTATTATTTATTTAAATAATAACATATACTTTTAGTGATATTATAAGAATAAACTTCGCTGACCAAAGCCATCGGTTCTAAAAGTAATAATATACGAGTATTAGTACCTATGATAGACATAATATTATTTTCCCATTAATTTGATTAAGTGTATGTATTTGGATAATAACTATTCATCACTCGTAATATAATATTTAACACTTAATAAAAATATTAAGTTATAACTTATATTATATTTATCATATTATACATTCACTAATAATATTTTTCCAATGAATACATACAGTTACAATAATTGACATGTACATCACAGTCTTACAAATTCAATGTTAATACAATTATTTATTTGAATCATAATAGTAGTTAATTTAGGTTTACTTCAAATTACCAAATTAAAAGACGATTTATATTTTACATTCCAAAAGACAAAAAGAAATTTTATAAAGAATTTATACAAAACAACTTATCTGATAATAATTTTTTTTAAAAAATTAATTTAAAAAAAATTTTAACTGATCATCAAAATTAATCATGATTAAATTATACGTAATAATGCCAATATAACAACTGAAGCAGCAAACAGTTTAGACTCAATGCCTGTTTTGATACTTTTTTTCTTTAATTTAGGAGATGCGACATAATCGACTTTATTTGTTCTCACTTGACTATCTAATATTTTAAATATTTTTTCCTCCATAACTCTGATACTTTTCAAAAGGCTCAATGCTTTATGTCCATTACGTGGATCTAAGCCATAACTTTGATCTCCCAAGTATTTTAATGAAGCATCAATTACATGCAATTGTCTGACAATAGTTGCCAAGGTCTGTGCAATATCTTCAGCATTAATTTCACCTTTCTTAAGACCTAAAGAGTAGGTGGACCAGTTTGATGTATGAAATGATTTAAGAGCAATATTTAAAAGCTTATAATGTGGTGATAAAATAATTCCCATATCAGAAAAATTATTTTTATTTGCAGAGAGTAAGCGTTTAAAAGTTATTTTATTTGAATGAAGTTGGTTTGCATAGATTTCCATTGATAAAGTTTCCAAAAATGTTTGAATATCATTAGTAAAACCATGTTCTAATTCAGCCATAACTTTATCCCAGTAGGTATATTCTTCTGAATAAGAAATTTCAAACTGCGCATCATCATTTGCTTTTAGTAAATTTAAAATTTCAACCATATTTTTATTTTCTGCAATCCTTTCGACTGTACAACCTTTTTTGTCAGTGGCATCTTTTTGAGCACCACGAGATAAAATAAATTTAGCAGTATCTATATGATTAGAACGTACTGCAAAAAACAAAGCAGTTTCTCCATTCTGATAATCTTTAATCTCAATATTTGCACCATGGTCGATTAAATATTCTATTAATTTCAAAGAACCATGAGAGCATGCGTACATGAGTGCTGTCATTCCAGATCTATCTATGGCATTAATGTTAATTTTATCAAAATTTGATAGAAGTTTTAAGCAATTTAATAATGTAATTTCGTCGGAAACACTACAGTTACATACACACATGACAACATTGTGACAATCATACTCTAATAAAGGATCAGCTCCATTTTTTAACAGATAATTTATAGCATCAAATGATCCATAAAATGCTGCTTGCATAAGTGGAGTCCAGTTATTATTCAAGTAACTGTTAATATTAATGTTTCCTGACTCTAAAGCACGTATAATTTCTGGCACATTATTTGATATGCATGCACTTCGTAATGTCTCTAAGAAGTCTTCAGCTTTTTGTTGTACATTATATGTTTTATTTTCAATATAATCACCAAATTCATCATACTCGTCATCACTTTCTAATCCAGCTGGAACTACATTAGTGTAATAGTTCATTTTTGTAGTCATTGGAACTAGAACAGAAAATATTAAATTATTAAATTATAAGACAAGTAAATATTTAATATTAAAAATGTAACATATACGGTTAAATATGTTAAATATATTTAATCGTATATTATATTAATTAAAAATAAGAAATAAATAATTCAAATAAAAGTAAAACGAGATTAATTTGATCAAAAATATTTGGAAATAAAATAAGTTACAAGAGGATGAAATAAAAGAGATTTTTAAACTCTTTTCTGAATACAATCTTAATCTAATTAACTCTTATGTATTCTTATTTTCCTATAAGTATACAATATAATTAAAGGAATTTTTCATAAAATTATACGTATAGAATGATTCTATACAACTGCAGAACCTCATATCAAAAATGATAACAGAAATCATATATAAAAATTTCAATTTAAATTGATGTTAATTTTTTTTTTTTTTTTACATACCATTGAGTCTTATTTGATTTTCGTCTCTTTGGTTCCCCCCTCAGTTCAATTCATATCCGGGATGGATACTAATACAATTTCATTAAGCTCAATAAATTAATAAATTGTTATATTATTTTAAGTTTAAAAGCAGTTATCACTAACCATTGTACTTAAAACTATAATTATAAGCTAGGCTTAATACACAAATGGGCATGATAATAAGGGGTAGCCACAATTGCACTATTTGGTTCTTAGCTTAAATTTAAAATAAAATAACATAATAAACATGGACTTTTCATTAATTTTAAATAATAAATATTTCCACTAAATAGAAAGAAAATTCAACATTAAAAAATTAAAATGTATTTATTAATAAAATGTAATTTGACTATAAACTCAGCTGAAAAAAAAGGAAAATATCCACTTATGTTACTAACAAATAAACATATTTACGTATTAACACTGAGGTTTTTAGATATTCTAATTTGAAAATTTGATATCTTATATCCATACATTTTTATATTAAGACCAACATACATGATTAATTTAATACACATAATTTAATATTTAAAAAATTAAAACAGTGGCATAATTTTAAGGAGAAGGTAAATACTGAATTTACCACAGTCTAGAGTTTAGCTATTCCAAAGTTGACACATCATCAAAATATAAATATATCTTTTATAAAATCATTGATGTGTTGTAAATTAGAAAAATTAGAAATGTACTATATGTATACTTATGTACAAAGTACAAATTATTATATTTTTGAACTGGTTTAATGTCTCTCTCCTTTCATGTTTATTGGCACTTAGGTAAATGAACCACCTAGTAGAAAATTTAATAAGAACATGCAACATCCTACTCAAGAAAAAACTGAAATTACGCCACTGAATTAATATATATATTCAAGGGTCTATTAAATTAAATGAAACAAAAGAAATACATATCAAGTTATACAATTTATAATTACTTATTACAAGTAAAAGAAATGAAAATTAGTAATATTAGAAAAATTTTCAAACCACAAAAAAAGGGTTACATCAATACATTTAACCCTACATGAGTCGCATGTTCAACTTTTGTAGTACACTGATAATCAATTCAATTTTAGATGGTTTTGAAACTATATAATCATAATAATAGCATTAATACCTTTAAATGATATAATATTATTGGTAACTATTATGATTTTGGAATTTATCTTTCAGTGTAGTTCTGTATATCAAATGGTTTAGTTTTATGTTTTACTATTGTAGATTATGCGACTACTTAGGTACATAATTTTTATACAAGGTAAATTCCATATTTTTAACTCGTGTAATAACTGAATTATTTTAAACTTATATTGACGTTATACATTATATTATATAATACATTACATATAATATATATATATATATATACGATTTATAAATATTTATTATATTTTTATGTAAGAAGGTATATACGTATATCTTTAGTATTCGTTATGATACTTTTTGTATATCCATGCATATAGTCCCTTGACATGCATTAAATTATTTAATACTGTACAATTTGATAAAAAATAGATATTTAAAATGTAAAAAAAATTCAAATAAAATCTTTTATGATAAAACAATTTATTGTTCTACTCATTAATACATCTAAATGTTAAATTGTAAACTATGAAAAATCAAATATGACATGCAAGTGCCAAGTACCTGTTTTGAGTTTTTGTTTTCTAAATACCCGACCGGAATTCTGAAATTTTACGTTACACGACGGACACACAATTTGATAGTAATAATCCAGAATAAATGTTAAGTCGGTAAAACCAAGAGAAACAGACATGTTTCGTCTATTATTGGCATGGCGTGACAGGACAAGATGATGTACCTTCAACGATGATTTGTCAAAATAATCAGGAAAAAAAATTGGTCACAACACAGAACACTAGAGTTGTGTCCACTCTCCACTGACTATGTAATATTACGAAACTCGATGGCAATGATGGACATGTTTTGTGATAATAATTACATATGTCTACTTACATTGCACACGAAGGTTGCGACCTGTTCGCCAATAGCTGAACACCTGACGAAGGCGATTAGGTACGGTAATTATAATATAAAATAACGATAAAAAAACAGGGAAAAAAATACTTGCAAAACTCGAGCACGTGCTGTTATCGAAGACGAATGATAAATAACGGTGAATGCAAAACGCTCCAAATAAGTTGATAAGCGTTATCATTCACGTACTCAATCCATTCCATAAATATATAATACCTTTTTTTTTTCTGTTTCTAAAACTAGGAGCGGGTGAGAACTGTTTAGCACATTACTGCCACCCGAGATATATAAAACCTGTGATCCATTCAATAAAAAAAAAAACTAATTATAGATATATAATTATATATATCTACTATATATACTATATCTAATATATACTTTATTCGTCGAAAAAAAACACGATTAAATCGCAAATATGTAAGATCAGATTATATGCGGTTCCTATGAATATAGAAAATAAACATCAACACGTCATTTTAATTTCTAATATTAAAATTATTGTTCTAACTCACATAAAATACACGATAACTACCAAAACATATAATGACGTAAAACTAGATACAACTTTGACATGCAGACTGTAAATATAGGCCAAAAAAATAAGTTTAAAAAAAGTTTACTGCTGAAGAAAAGCTTTGGAAAAATATGATATTATATACTCTAATATTTTTTAAGTTAAAATCATTAAAACATTTATTTTAATTTTAAATTCTTTCCTTTGTAAAGGTAATAAAACATTATTTAAATCATCTCGTACAATGACATACAAACAATAATCATAAATAAATGCCAACAAACATGGTATTAAAAATGTATTTCACACTAAAATGAAGTAAAGTACAACATAGACAATTAGAAATTTCCCATTGAAAGACCTAGAAAATACGAAGTTATATTAACAATACTTAAAATCAGACACACGAAAATCTCACACAGTTACCTACTGTTTAAGTAAGAACCCTCAATTTACTCAGTACAAGTCACCATAAAAAATTTACTAACTTAATGCCCGAATAGCTATAGGTACTATATCATCAAAACAAACCATAAACTCTCTGAGACAACTGCCGAAATACTTAATAACCACCTTCAATCAATAGTCAGAATCATCAAATTCATAAATGCCGTCAATGAAAAATGTAGAAATTAATTTAAAGAATTTATAGAAAATATTAACTGTTCTTGTTGTCTTAAATATGTAATATTAATCTTTATATTCCCAATTGCTTACGTGAAAGTCTTTTCTTAATAGAAAAAAAAATGTTCACGAAATATAATAATCAAAGTAAAAGTATTTATTTATTAACAAATTTTATTTTAAATACTTTATCTAATATTTTTGTATAAAAGATTGATTTTTTTCTGTTATTTTATAGATTTATTTTACTTTGGTACATACTTATCACATGAACAGGGGCGTCATTTCAACTTTTTGAAAGGTATGCTAAAAACAAGGCAGGCCAATGTATTATATACTAGTTATTACAAAAAAAATTTTCTCGCTACACTCAACAATTTCATTCTTCGACAATATAATGATTTAATATAATATCAATATTGTATATACCTACCTAATAATCCCAAGTTAATACTCAATACCTACATTATTTTATTTTAAATTTTATTATTTTTTTTTTTTTTGTAAACTATGAAAATAAAACAAATCCTGAAATTTTTAATCACACAGAAGTTATTTAATATAAACCAAAAATTTATTTTTATATTATTTCATATAAATAATAACATATTAATACACATTAACAAAAATAATTTAATAATGTTTACTATTGGTACAGTGGGTACCTTCTTTCATTTTTGCAAAATCATCAACTGCATCGTTCAAATTAATTTGATTTGCTTCTTCGATTTCAACTCCAAGAACCATTAAATCGTTTAATCTTTCATCATAAATTGATGTTCTTAAGAAATTTTTTATCCTTTTCAGTGAAGAAAAGAAACGTTCATTTGATGCTGTTGTCACTGGTAATGTTAACATTATGGACAATATTTTTTTGTTGTTTCAGGAAATACAAATGGTAGATTTAAAACTATATTTAATATTAATTCTAATTTAAATTGGGAATTGTTTTCTAGTTCTAATGTTGCCTTTATTGAAGAAAATTCTGATGACAAGTTTAAAGTATTAATTTGAAAACTTTTGTAGTGGTCTATGAACCAACTTATTAATAGTACCACATTCTGCATGAAGAAAGTCAACATTTGTATAGTAAAATACATTAATATGTCAAAAACTTGTTCATTTTTTGAAAATCGTTCATCTAATTGCGTTCCTAAAAAAGAACATACTTTTATGAATTAATTAATTTGATGAAGTTTAACCTAACCTAACCCTGCAATACCCCAAATGACGCCTCTGTACATGAATAATTTTTATATTTTTCTTCGCAAACACAGAGAACCTAAACTATCGTTAAATATGACTAGTTCATTACAAAGTACATTTAATTTATACTGAGCTATTCTTATTTAAGTTAATACGTTTTTTACATAACGTGCAACTAAATTTAGGCGATCGCTTTATGCATATTTAAGCTTATACAGTTATGGGTGCTATCCCTTATTCGGTATCATCCCCTAACATATTGAATCGATACTAAAAATACATGTGGTCTACTACTATGAAACAGATACGTATTGTCACTAAAGAATTGAATACATTTATTCTTCTCAACACGTACCTATCTATGATTTTACATGTGTTGAAAATATAGTTTCGTTTTTTGTACCATGTTTAGTATTTATGTATTATGTTCAAAAGTCTAAAGATGAAGTCTATATATTATATTTTGTAAATTAAAATTTCTAATTTGAGAAAAGGTAATCGTATATTGTGTTTCGAGTGCGGCAACAAAGTTTTAAAGGTTTTTTTTTATTTCCAAATTCCAATCCCCGATTGGCGCTATTTATCATTCATGTACGCTCGTTAGGATTGCACAGTGTGTGCGATTGCATTTTCTTCCGTTACGTTATGTTGGCGACTTGTAAATTGAAATCATATTTGTTTTTGTCGTCGAAAAATTTGATACTATTTCAGGTTCACTGAATTACTTTTCTTTTACTATCTCATTTATAATTAATTTCACTGTTATTGCTACATCGTAAGCTTTTGTCTTCTATCTTCTACGTCACACCTGCAATAAGAATTTTTTTACATTTCACTTTACTACTGTTGAATTTTGATCAGTAAGCTTATTGCTCTACCGTATTACATATTACTTGATCACATTACATCGAACTACTGACCAACGTTTTTGTTTTTGTTTGAAAGAAATCATGGCTCCGTCAATTGTGGACAAAAGAGACGATGGCCCTTCAACGTCCGAAGAATTAGACTTAGACAAGGCGGCAGAAGAAGCAAAATCCTTGATCGAAAAAATCATTAAAGATGTGGGTAAAAAGTCAGCTACCAGGCAACTGATTTTCGGTTCAGCGTCCGGATGGTAACATGTTTAAACTGTGTACTGATCACATTTCATTTACATTCAATCACTTTCAGGTTGACCGGTTTTGTTATGATGAAACTGGGTAAAGCTGCTGCGTTTACAATGGGTAGTGGTATAATAGCTTTGCAGTTAGCGAATTCAAGTGGTTATGTGAAAATTAATTGGGAAAAATTGACTAGAGGTGTAGAGAGAGTGGCTGAACAAGTCGAAGATAGTACAGCGGACAAGAAGAAAGGATTGTTGAAAAAGGTAACAAGCATGCATAATAATTGCATTAGATTAAAGTTCAATTTAATTTCCCATACAAACTTCTTAAGTCATTCAATATTATAGATGATATTAGAATATGTATTTTCTATGTACCAATTATATTTTAGGTCAGAGATATTGTAGAGAACAACTCCATTATGGCTGCTGGATTTACCGGTGGTTTCTTCCTTGGTGTCGCCTACTCATAAACAGAGTCCATAAATGGAACATCTAAGAATCTTTACATACAATTTTTAACTATCTCTTTAATGAAGTTAAATAATATAATCTATTAATGTAACTTTTAATAAAAATAAATTTAAAAAATAATTATAGCAAAAACATTTAACTAAATTTTATATTATAATATACACGTTCCTTTGGTTTTTTTTTTTCTTAATGATTTAATGACATTTCATGACACGGACCAATTTCAGATGGAGCGCTATGTCGACAAGAAACTTGACAAAGCCGAGGATTTGTTAAGGAAGAAGGAACGCAAAGCTAAACGTTGGTTTAACCGTATATCTGGTGATGAGGACGAGTTTGTTTTTGAAGAGATTCACGTATTCTTAGCTTCTTATTTAATTGGCCTTGCTTTAGGAATTTCTTTCGGCATAGTTGCACGTTGAAATGGTCATTAAATAATAAAATGCACTAAAATCTGTACTTATAGGTATAAATATTATTTTAATAAAATTCTTTTAGTTTTGTATTAATGTTTGCATGTATATAGTAAATAAACACCACTTATGTTCCATATTTATCTGAATAATTGTCATAAATTAATAATAGACATTTATTTATTAATTTAATTCATTAACTTCACTATTGGCTATATTCATAAAATTATGGTATTGTATTATTATTATATTGTAATGAGTTTAAGCATTAAACATTTTTGATACTAGTCAGTAGTTTGAAATAAAATTTTATCATTCTTTTGTTAAACTATTTGTGATAAAATAAACGACTAACTTAGATGGTATATGCAGTTTTATTGCAGTTCAGCACTTTATTATATGTATAAAAAGAACCTTTCAGCTATAAATCCTGTTTTTTTAATTGTATTTACTATTTTAATAAATAGTATACAATTATATAATGATAAATAAATCTGTGTTAAAAAAACAATTTTCAACTAAATTTGGTAAGATATTTTTATTGAATAATGAGTACCTTATTTTAAAATTAATATATTACCTAATACATTAAAATATTGAGCACTTTAATTAATATTTATGTTTAAAAAGTAAAAATTACTATCAATATTTGTGAAAGTGTTAACTGATAAATTATGCAATATTCAATATTGAAGAAAAAATGAAATCTGAATATTTTCAATAAATTTTTTTCCTTGAAAAACTAATAAGTTATAAAATATAAATATTTTTATTATTTTTGCTTAAATTGAATTTTAATGTTTTATTTGTGTGAAACTTTTGGTTAAGACTAAAAGATTTCAATCTGAAAATTAATCAGAGATAAACATTGAAACTATTAATATCAAAAAATTGCTTTCGAGTTTTTTATTACATCTTAGAATATATTGTAAAATATATGTATATGAATTTGTTATTTTGTTTTATAATATCATAGTGGCAAACAAAATACACAGTAAAAAAATTACTAGGTTAATCATAGAGTTATATGATTATTAGTGTAACACTACATTATGTAATCTTGTACACATTTATGTAAATATGATGTTATGTGTTTTTCCTCATAATATATCAATCTTCTTAAGTGTCTGTTGTTATATGACCTTGGTATAAAAGTATTGTATACTTATATAATACTGAGTCTGAATAACTGATAGATACTATACTTAGATCAAACTGATTTGAAATTTAAACACTTAATAAAATCATAAAATGAGAGAAGTTATTTGATTTAAATACTACAGAAAAAAAATTTGAGTAATTTAATGATTATCTTACGAAAAATTAATTTGTATAAATTAACAAACTGTAGTTATTTATAAAATGTCTGTGTTTAATCAACAAGACCTAAGTGACTCGTGTATTTACCAAGGTTTATTAATATATATTGGCTTGGTCATCATGTATAGATGCATATGGTATCCCTATACAACTTGGTTTACAGACTATTTACAGGAGATAAGGATAATGCAATTTAAAATCATTAATTAATACAATTATCACCAATACTAATAGCCAAATTAACTTTAAATAAAATAAAATTTCACATAAAAAAATCATAAAACTGGAAACTTTAATTATTAATTATATATATTTAATTGACATCAGATGTCAGATACACTAATAAAATTAAAATAAAAAGTTTTATGTTAGAAGTTAAATGCAATTAAAAATGAGTAACATAAGTACCATATAGCATAATAGACAACATTATTATAAATAGACATAATGGAAGAGTAAAATAAAAAACACTTAGTATTTTACAGAAATAATGAGCAAATTATAGAAGAAGAAAAATTTGTTCACTAAATTATTATCCAGTGAAATTTTGGATAGTATATACAAAAAATTAAATTAAAAATTATTTAGTCAAGCAGCCAAGTGCATATTACAAAATTGTTATGGAATTTAGATTCAATAGAAATTAACAATAAATGTAAGAAAATAATCCAAAGAGAAATATGATTACTGATTAATAACTATAATTTATAAGCATTTAAAAAGAATTATATTATGAGTACACAACATATAAAGAAATTCAAGAAAATAAAATTTGTTCAACCAATTTTTTCCTTTAGAACATTATATATATAGCACATCAATTATTACCAATCATCCAAGAAATCAAATCCTGTCTTTGGTATATTAGCATCATCATTAATATCATCATTATCATAAACATAAGGTGTATACTGTTGAACAGTTTGTTTAGTACTTGGGACTTGTTGCGGTGGCGGAGGAGGAGGAGCTTTAGGCTTTGCCTTGTCACTTTTGACAATTTTGCTTTTGTCTTCAGTTGGTATTAATGATTTCAGTTGTGCATTTGATTTAACTTTACTGATAACTTTATTGTCTTGAGATTCTTTGCTTGGAATTTGTTTCAAAACTGCAGGCTTGCATTCATTAGCAAAAAAGTTTTCCCGTACACTATTCACATGTTTGCAAAGATCCAACTGACTACGTGTGAACCATGAAAATCCACCTTCAAATTCTTTTCCCTGAGAATAATAAAATATTTCAAGTTTTATCATGAATAATATATTACTTTGACATATAGTTATATTTTTATAACAAAAAAATTAATTTAATTTTAAATCTAAACGGATATGTATAAAATTGCTATTTATAATGCAATATTATAGTACCTATTATGTTAATTAAATATTATAATTTTATACTTAAATATAGACCTAAAATATCAAGTATTATAACTATAACATACAAAATATTATTAAAATGAGAAATAATCAATTTATGCAAGTATAAGTTTGAAATTTTAAAATAAGCAATAATATGCCAAAATAGGCAGATTTGAAATCTAAACCTAATGATGAATCAATGTTATATCATATTTAGCAATTATTATGAATATGAAAGTACTGTTTGATTTTTATTGTTATAAAGTATTTGTGAATTATATTGTTGCATGCAACTTGTAGTTGCATCGGAGTTATAAACACCGTACAACATATTTGTATGTAAAATAATCATGTTCTCATTAATTATGTTGAGAGTAAATTATGCTGTTAAGTGTCTGAATATAGATATTTTTATGATTTAGACTGAGGTGCTGGTTAAGCTGGTAGAAAGGGTTGTAAATATTAACAACAAATTTAAACGTAAACATTTTTATTTTTTACAAAAATATACATTAAAATGATTTAAATAAATTGATACCATTGTAATACAAATACGTATACATAGTATATCATCAATAATTAGGTGCTTCACAGCAATATACTAATGGTCTAAGGGAAAACTGAATGTCAAATACAAAATAATGCCAAAATTAAAACCTGTAAAGCTAATATCATTTATTACTTCTGTGTAAAGTGCTCGAGGCTTGAAAGTATATAAAGTATACTCTAATGAAACACCAGTGAAAATATTATTACATTAAAACAGGTTGTGAAAAGACTTACATCTGATTTTTTATACTTTGAATACTTCAACACAGTTTCTGGGGTGATAATGGACTCTTCAATGATTTTACTTTGCTCGTCAGAGCTCAGCCCGTGCCACAGTGATTGATACGCATCTTTTGTGGCATCTACATCCTTGCGAATGCGTTCCGCAATCGGATTGATGGTGAACAAATAGTCGTAGTAAATGTCTTGAGACCGATTCAAATCCATGGCTATTGTAAAACCTGTACAGAGACGTCGGTTAACATGTGAATATATACATGGGCGAGTACGCGTGTACATTCTGTAACGGTGAACAATACACACACAAACGGTAACGAGACAAACGACGGTTTTACTTACTTGTGACGTGTGTGACGCGGTTCATTTCGGAGACGAATCCATTTTTCCGGTCAAGAATTCCGTTAGCCACCGGACCTCGAGTGCTCGTTAGACCGCACGGTTTCGTTCGACACCGTTACCGTACACGACTGGTACTCTGTCGACGGGCGTGGGGATGACGCACTGGAAGTCTGCGGGACTCGGCAGACGTCGTCGTCTCGACGATTTCCGATTTACGGCGTACCTGCACGCAGCCGAAAACCGACGTTCCGCTTGCGTGTCGTTCTCCGGCCAATAATTGCCGTACGCGTCCCGAACAGTAAAATAATAAATATAGTAATATCACTTATGGTATCTGTACATTACATGGGCTCGTGTAGTAATATTGCTGTATGACGCACTTCGGCTCTATGTCACTGATAACGTGCGATAACACGGCGACAATCTTTTATTCCGTCGGAACGTTGAGCCAGAGCTTATTTTTACGTGCGTTTGAACACATTATGCGTAACTCCAAATGAAGAATGCGCAGCTTTGATTCAAAAAATGCGCAGTTGTAAATACTACCTATAAATAAAATTTCTCACAATAATAAATTGTAGTCATCGAATTCATAACCGAGTGCAGGTAAAGTGTCCATCAATCAGATTAGGTTTATTAAGACCGTGTTATAATTTTTTTTTTTTTTTTTTTTTATTAAAAATATATTACAATCTGTTTACACATAAAACAATAAGTAACAATGATGATAGTGATTAAAGAAGACATGAAGCACATGAAGAGGAGACTGTCCAGTGACAGAACTCAGAAAATTGAGTTCGGGCATTGAAATTTATTTTACTTTTTTATTTTAAATTTTTTTTTTTTTAGATTAGAAGGTCTCTAGCCCAATTTCTTTTTAACCGTCGAGGAATATTAAAAGGTAGTGTGAGAGAAGACATGTTTTTGATAAAGGGGTTAGAATGGTTAATTAATTTGGAATGGAATTTTTTATAGTAGCTTTTAGCAAGTTCATTAACTGTTGGAAGTTTTAAGTCGTTATGGAGAGCTGAATTTGTGATATACCACGGAGCACCGGTTAAGAGTCTTAATGAGATGGATTGAAAGGCTTAGATGGGACGGATGTTAGCTGGTTTCGCTGGGCCCCAAATTTGAATACCATAGGTCCATATTGGTCTTATGATAGATTTGTAAATTAATATTTTATTTTTGAGATTTATTTTTGATTTTAGAAGAGGTTGGAGTAAATGGAGGCGGGAGTTAAGTTGTTTACGTTTATTTTTTTGTATGATCTGCCCAGGTTAGCCTTTTGTCTAGAGTGATACC